GCACTAAACACCTGATTGATAATACTAATTGTGGCAAGTGGAGTAAGAGTCGCGCACTTGGAAAAGCAAACTGAGACGTACTCCAAGGAACTAGACATTTCCCCGTGGTGCTTGGTTTTAGTTCATTTTATATTATTTGCTTTATCCTCAAGCTATTGAGATCGTTGTCAACAAGGTTTGCCAACACTGTGCTGTCTGTGTCAGCGAGGATAGAATTCTAAATCCGCATTTCACTTTGAACAGAACTAACCTTCATAAGAGAGCTGGTTTCCTCCCAGCTGTGGAGTTCTTTCTCCAGATTTGTGGAGAAGTTTACTTATGTGTCTTGATCCAGTTCTCTCCTCTGAAATGGCTGCTTGAAGAGCACTCCGGTCTTAAGCAGAACCCAAAATGGCGTCTGTTGGGCCTAGAATTGAAGGATTTACTTCCTTCATTTGGTCCCAGATGTCTATCAACTAAAGTCAGGAACTAATCCTTCTTGTCATGCATTCTTAGAATTGACTTTCCTTCAGTCTCAAAAGAAGTAGAACCTCTACCTCTCCGTCAAGCGCTGTTAGACTGGTCCTCTGGAAACCCAGTGAACTCCATGCCCTCTTTTTCTCACATTTCTTGACAGAGTATCTTGAAGAGGTGCTGATGCTAATGCAATTGATAAGATTCACAGCAGTACACAAGACTTCTGTGAGGATTGCTCATAAAGCCTTTGAAACCATTGCGTGTCGATGTGAAAATTAGAGTCATGCTGAAGCAGGAATCTTAGTCTCTACCTAAGCAGCAAATCCGGATGTGTGGCCAAACATCCATTTTAGGGGCTCCATCTGAGCAGGAAGTACTGTTCATTTTTTATGGCCAGGAGGGTTGTCAGCATTGGTAGCCTTTACAGGTTCCAGACGATGCTTTCAGAATAGGAATTCTTTAACGAGGTCGGCACACCACTTACCGAATGAAAGCCAGTTAGTTGTTGGCTGCACTAGAAGGCAAGCAGTCATTCATCTGGTTACGAACTAAAAGGATACAATACTTCCATCAACTCAACTTTTTGTGTCCCCTCTTCAGACACTGGAATGCATGTAGGTGGTTCTGGAGTGGATGGTGCTGTTCATCAGAAGGGCTGCTTCACTTTCTCTCTCTGTACTCATCTGCAACCCCAGTTTACCCAGGGAGGGCGTAGCGACTGGGTTTTCTTCCCCTCTGCAGTGTGACAAGCAGCCTTATGGGTGCTTCCAAAACAAGGCTGTTTGGACACAACTATGTTTTAGTTAGGCATCCTACTCCTAGGATCCTACTTGTCTGAAATGTTTGTTGTGTGGAATGTTGTAAGGCATTTGTTGAATTTTGTTGACATAAACACCTTTGGCACTTACTATGTGATAAAAGTACTGTAGCCTTAGTTAATCATGGCAACTATAAAAGTAAAAACAGAAGATTTGTAAGCTTTATCCTTCTTTCTTTTCCCTGACGCTTTCTGATAGGGAAAATAATTGTATTGGCAGGATATATGCAGTCTTTAGCTTATGTTATTGGTAAGCTTCTGGATCTCATCACATGGCAAGGTGGATGACTGTTTACTATTTGACAATTAGTATATAATGTAGCAGCAGGATGATTTTATATTATTTGACCACATACATTAGCATCCTGTATGTATGTAGGTAGCAATAGCTACCTCATATTTAGCATAATAGGACATTTTTTTTTAAATTTCTTAACATTTATTCATTTTTTAGAGACAGAGAGACAGAGCATGAGTGAGGGAGGGGCAGAGAGAGAGAGAGGGAGACACAGAATCTGAAGCAGGCTCCAGGCTCCCAGCTGTCAGCACAGAGCCTGATACGGGGCTCAAACTCACCGACCATGAGATCATGAGCTGAGCCGAAGTCAGACGCTTAACCGACTGAGCCACCCAGTCTCCCCAATATAATAGGACATAGTTTTAAGGTAACAGGAAAGAGGGGCACCTGGGCGGCTCAGTCGGTTGAGCGTCCGACTTCAGCTCAGGTCATGATCTCACGGTTCATGGGTTTGAGCCCCATGTTGGGCTCCGTGCTGACAGCTCCGAGCCTGGAGCCTACTTTGGATTCTGTGTCTTCCTCTCTCTCTGCCCCTCCCTTGCTCGCTCTCTCTCTCTCTCTCTCTCACTCAAAAATAAACATTTTTAAAAAATTTTTTTAAGAGTTACAGTAATAGGAAAGAAATCAAAGAAAAAATATTTGTAACTCACAGAGTACGTCAGTGGAACCTCCTAGTGGTGAGAAGTCTCAAAATCATTTACTTTAAGTTTGGCTTAGGGAATAAGGACATTTTGCATAGGTGAGATGGCATGGTAGTGTTTTTAAGTATTTAAAAAATGATCTTACAGGGAAGGGTAATACTCTTTTTGTAAGTCCAGAGGGTATAGACGGACCAACAGGTAAATATTATAAAAAAGGTCTGTGTCCACTCGATAAAAGGCACATTTTCTAATATTTCCATCTCTTCTCCCCATCAATAAAATAGGCTACTTTGCAAGACTTTCTCCTCATAAAAGTTAACGGCCCCGTGTCCATCACACCAAAAACCCACCTTACTTCTATCGTGACTTCTGTTTAATGTCTCACTCCCTATTTATTTGCCTGTGAGGTCATCCACTGAAGGGAGGCGGATGGAGCAGAGCTAAGCGTGTGGGATGCAGGGCCAGGTGGGCAAGTGTGGTCTTCGATGCTTCAGTTTCTCAGTGTGGTAATCCTTCTTCCCTACTTACAGGGATGATGTAGGAATTGAATGAGTTAATATACCTCTACAGTGCCTGGCAAGTACTCAGATGTTAAGTGCTAACACCCTGCCATCTGTCAGCCACACGGTCAACACTTAGGCTGAAAGACTAGCTGGCTATAAGCTGAACAGCCATCTTTCAGTGATGTCTTGGGAAGATTTGCTTTGTTGGACAGCACACATAATTTCTAAGGACCGGAGCATTCTGGAGACGGGAGTCTCAGAGAACGGGGGGGTCTGGGCGGATGCTGTGTGTGTAGGGAACACAAAAGCCCCATACTTGTAGAGGACTTGACTTCCTCCCGAGTTTCTGTCATGGCTGACTCTGTGGAAGATATAGCACGCTTCATCAGAATATTTTCCAGCTTCCTGGCAGGGCTTCTGGAATAGATGAGCTTTTTTCGTTTTTATACTTTAGGTTAATTTGTTAGCTTCGGAAAGTTGTCATTTTGGGTTTTTTTGTTCACCTCTACCTCACTAAAATCTCAGTCTGTGATCATTTTATTTACAATGGGGTAGAACACAAACCCTTTATGCACTTTCTCTGTATTCCAGAATGTGTTCAGTATAATTAATGATAGTGATTTTACTGAAACCAGAGCATCCGATTTGTAGTATTTGTGAAGAATCATCTCTTAAATTCATTTTCAGCCCAAAGCGTGGTCCCTGAAGTTTGTATCCATTCTGCCACCGCTTACCCAAGTCTTTTGGCCACTTCCTTACAGTCCTGGAACCCGTTTCTTATCTGTAGCTTGCAATTACTAAAAGTACCACCTTCACTAGCTCTTCCGAGGATTAAGTGAACCAGTGTGTGGAATGTGTTCAGCACAGAGCCTGGCATAAGCAAGTTCCTTAGAAAGCGTCCTCCTCAGGAGTATTCCAGCCTTTCACCAATCCATATGTATATGTCTGTCATGTGTTGGTACTAATTTACTTCTCGAAGGACTGACCTGAATAACGTGGAGTATACAGGAGCCCCTCCCTTTAAGCGCTCTCACACTAGTGAGTGGATCAGAACAGAATTATGGGCTAAATACCGGAGAGGTGTGGGCAGGGTGCAGGGAGGCCCTGGAGCGAAGGTCTGGGTCAGAACTCAGACTAACTCCAGAACGGTCTGATGAAAGTATCAAACTTGGGGCGCCTGGGTGGCACTGTCGGTTAAGTGTCCAACTCTTTACCTCAGCTCACGTCATGATCTCACAGTTGGTGAGTTCAAGCCCTGCATTGGGCTCTGCTCTGATGGCACGGAGCCCGCTTGGGATTCTCTCTCTCTCTCTCTCTCTCTCTCTCTCTCTCTCTCTTTCTCCCTCTCTCTCTGCTCTTCCCCTGCTTGTGCTCTTTCTCTCTGAAAATAAATAAATAAAGTGCTGAACTTCAAAAGTGAGACTGGGCTTACCCACCCAGGAGGTGTTTCAAAGGAAAGAGAATTTTAATACACTGTAGAGATGCATTGGGGACCTACCCCTTCCCTGTCACAGTGTTTTTGTCTGCCTCTCCTTCACCCTCCTCCTCCTACCCCTTCCTGCCCTCTTCGCCTTTCTCTAGGGAAATAAATGCAGATACCTGCGCATTCGGCCCCAGTTCCTCCATCTGGGGGAGTGGCACCACACACAGGATTTGTCCAACTGAGCCCTTAGGGAAAACTTTTTGAGGTTGACCTACTGAGCCATGAATTACTGCCCAAAGATGTAAAGGGGCTTTTCTGTCAGGATGCTTACAAGTTAAGGTATTTTAGTGCTTTCTAAGTCTGAAGATCTCTTTTGTTTATATAACGTCAGCTTACGTTTCTTTAGTTTTTTTATTAAATATAGAGGGATAGTCGAGGTGCTAGGTTTCTATGTGTATGAGATTCTTAAGAACTGTTTTCATTTGTTTACATCAGCAGCAAAACCTGAAGATTTTATCTGATGTCTAAAATGTCCTAGTTGTTCCAGAATCAGATTGTGGTTAATTGACCATAATAGCAGCTAGTTCCCTACAGCTAAAAATATTGAGGAGAAAATACCCGTAAAAGAGTGAAAACATAACGCTGTCAGCAGTGGTGAAATATGTAAATACCAAGGTTTAGACCTAGAAATATATTTGGCCTACAACGAAAGAAATCTGTCAAAGCTGTTTTATTTGAAACCGCAATAAAGGTACTTTTTCATCAAGGAAAGTTCGTCGCGCATCTCGTAACTTTCACCTGCCAATAGATTACCGTTCTGTGTAGTATTTTCATTCTTTTTCTTTTTTCTTTTCATTTTCAGCTTATGGAAAAGTATTTCTGGTTCGTAAAATCAGCGGTCACGATACTGGAAAGCTGTATGCCATGAAAGTACTGAAAAAGGCAACGATAGTTCAAAAGGCCAAAACCACAGAGCACACAAGGACAGAGCGGCAAGTCCTGGAGCACATCAGGCAGTCAGCATTTTTGGTGACGTTGCACTATGCTTTCCAGACAGAAACCAAACTTCATCTCATTTTAGGTAAGTGTCCATTGGCCCTCGGTTGTCAGTTGTTCTTTTTGCCAGAACACTTTTTCCCTTGGGTCTTGGGTCGCAATGAACTCAAAGGACCGCCTTCTTCAGACATAGAAGAAATGAAACGGTTTGACTCTCATTCTTTCTGTGACGGCAGTTCCTTGAACACCATGAGTTGTTCTGGATTTGGGACCTCCCACCCTGAAGGGGTTTATATACTTCTATTCCACGTTCCTTTATTGGTCTTAAGGAATACTTGAGTCATTAGGGGGGGTCTGCTTCCCTGGGCATTGTGCTTCCACTCAAATGTGAGGACCGGAACGGTGACATGGGCCACAGTTTCTGCCTCAGGAGTTCTCAGGAGCTTTCCACGTTCGGGCTGAAAAAGGGATATTTGTGGAAACTGGTAGTTGGGGAAAAAGATAAAAGGGAGACTTCTATTCTTGGAGATGCTTTGCTTTTTTGGTGAAAAATCTGCATTTAAAGGAGATGCTCACCAGCCAGTCAATGGGGGCACTCCCATTTCTACCCACAGACACTTTCTGAATCCTTTCCTTTCCCAAACAGAGTTGGCCCATCATGTATGAACTTTGGAAATGTCCTCCGTCACACATTGCCAGATTGCCTCGCGGGAAAGTCGCAGCGTTTTCTGTTCCTCCTAATGATAAATGGTGATGCTGTACTCTGTCCTCCTTGACTGTTTCATCTGTTACACTTTAGCCCCACCCTTGTGATAATTTGCATTTATGTGCTATGCTCCCCTGGTTCTCGAACTGTTCTGAGGGTTAGAGGAGATAGAAGTCCGCATCGTGCTCTGTAAGCGTCACCTATTTCTTGAGTGTGAATGGTGTGCCTGCACCATGCTACGTGCCAAGTATTATCCATGGTGATCACTAGCCCTTCACGACAGTGCCGCTAGAGTCCCCTCATTAGTGATGTTGATGGTTCTAGAAGCTGTATCTCCTGAAGTTACATATCTTGTGTAAACTTGAGAATGAAGATTGGAACTCGGGTCTGACTCATTTCAAAGTCCGCCAAACAGTGCTGCCTATACTCTTTGATTATTGGTAGTACAGACAGGTAGGTTCTTATATATTTGACAATTTTGTCGAATGCCTTTATTGTGGAAATTATACTTTTATCAATGACGCCTAAAGTTGCATTCACTTTTTGAGTCATGAAGTTACACTTCAGGCTCAGTTTGGAATGCTTACCGTCAACTAACAGTCCTAAATCTTGTATACGTAGACGTCACACTCTCCTTTGCCCTGTCAGGGTCCCCTGTTACCATCATCATCTACCCGGTGTTCCTGCAAGTCAGTTATCATTTGGCTCTTCTTTCTGCCTCCTGGGTCTACCTGCTCAGCTTTGTTCCTTACTGATTCTTAAATACGTATTCCCGGAGTATCCCAGGTATATGGCACAGAGCACTTTCGTACAATGATTTTGAACAGTTATGGCAGGAGAACTCTTCCCTCAAGTGACGACGCAAACATTCAAATGGAAAACAAATAGAAATGAGTACCCCTGCTTGAATCTGAGCCCAAGGGCACAAAGTCCTGCCAGTTTATTTCTATACCCACCCTTCAAGAATCTCCAGGGAAGCTTTAGGGAGTCCATGAACACTGCTTGAGAAGTAATTATCTTGTTTAAGCTTCTCCCCTTATAAAGAGCCGGCTCATCAAAGTGAAATCACGCGCCTAAGATCATGTAAGTAGTGTGAGCCTGACGTGGCAAGCAGCCACACTCCCAGACTCTGCACCACCGCAGAGCAGCTTTTCTCTTCCGCTCCTCTTCTTCCTGTTCTTGCACCATAACTGGACTCGGTCTTTTCTTTTACTGTTTATCGTAAATCGTGTAGTTTGGTAAATCACGTTTTTAATTTAGAAGTAGATGAGTGGACGATTTTGTATTTGATTAAAAAACAATAGTCTTGGGGTGCCCGGGGTGGCTCTGTTGGTTAAGCGTCTGACTTCGGCTCAGGTCATGATCTCGCAGTTCATGGGTTCGAGCCCCATGTTGGGCTCTGTGCTGACAGCTCGGAGCCTGGAGCCTGCTTCGGATTCTCTCTCTTGCACTCTGTCTTTCTCAAAAATAAACATTTAAAAACAAAGCAAAACAAAACAATAGTCTTTAATAGTATTGCTTTTTAGCTGGTGGTTCTCCATTAATTTTGCTCTTTGTTAGTGGCCCATAAATAAATACAGAAGAAAACAAGAAAACCTGTTTCTGGAGCCATCTCAGGAGTAGAATGTGGACTAGAATAGCATGCCGGCTCCATCATGAGTGAGGCAGTACCTTTGGAACGCATGCCCTCTACTTCCTCCCTGTGTTGATGTATTTAACATAATTTCTCATTGTGCATGTTAATAGTTGTTTTTTTGGCTTTAAAATCAAAACTTTGCAGAATCGTTGAGCAAGGCTTTATTATCAACTGTTTTTATGGTTCAGTTTGCAATGCTTAGAATGCACACTAGGCCAGTTTTCCAAATGTTGTGCTATACACTTAGTCCTCATCTTAGTCCCTTTGAGCTGCTGTAACAAAATACCACAGACAAGGGGCTGAAACAACAGATGTCTGTTTTCCTCACTGTTGTGGCGGCTGGAAGTCCCAGATCAAGGTGCCGGTAGGGTTGGTTTCCTCTGAGGGCCGTAAGGAAAGTCTGTTCCAGGCCTCTCTCCATGGCTGGCAGATGGCCATCCTCTTGCTGCCTCTTCCAACAGTCCCCTCTCTGTGCATCACACCCGATGGTGCTTTATGTGTTCAATAGTCCTCTTACAAGGATACGAATCTGATTGGATTAGGGCCCACCCCGAATGCCTCATTTTAGTAATTTAATTACCTTTGAAGACCTTGTCCCCAAATACAGTCACGTTCTGAGGTAGTGGGGGTTAGGGCTTCAATATATTAATTTAGGGCAGGCAGGGAGGACACAGTTCAGCCCATAACTATCTGTTAAGTTTATGGATTAGAGATAGCAAGAATTTTCATGTTGAGCTCTTCAGGGACCTAGCTGACCTTTTTTTTTTTAAATTTTAAAAAATTTATTATTTTTGAGAGAGAGAGAGAGAGAAAGCACATGAGTGGGGAAGGGGCAGTGATGGGGGCGTGGAATGGAGGATCCAAAGTGGGCTCAGCACTGACAGCAGGGAGCCCAGCGTGGGCTTGTGCACCATGAGATCATGACCTGGGCCGAAGCCGGATGCTTAACCAGCTGAGCCACCCAGATGCCTGCCCAGCTGACCTTTTTGTCTGAAGTAAATATTATAGACCTTTTTAAAAAAAAATAATATATTTTTAAAACTATTTATTACTGTAAAAGCACATATATGCATATGGAAAATACAGAAAAGCAAAAATAAGAAATAAAAGATGTCAGAAAGCAAAAATAAGAAAACCTTTTCACTACTGGGAGTTTACCTCATTCTATATCGCTTGGTTATTACTTAGTATGTGTATCCTAGATCTTTTTGTCTGTGTGTCCGCATGCAGGCACGTTTTGTCAGATGAGGTGGTCCCGTGCTACCTACGGTTTGCACCCAACATCCTTTCTTCAGCTGATGATGCCTGCTTTTCCTGGTTAATAAACTTTCACTTCATTTAATACCCAGTGGTACCAGTGATGTATTGTGCATATAACAAACCGCTCTACAAAGTAGTTGCTTCAGCAAGGATTTGTTTTCTCGTCATTTTGTGGGTTGGCCGGGTGGAGCTCTGCCGGTGGAGCCCAGACCTGCTCGTGGGATGGTGCTCAGCTAGCTGCAGGGTTGGCTGGCCTTAAATTGCCAAGATGGTTACACTCGTGTCCGAAAGCGAGTGCTGGCAGTTGTCTCGGGCACCTCTCTTCTCTGCGTGGCCTGTCGTCCTCCAGGGCAGTAGATCAGTTTCTTCCTAGCACAGCAGCCTCAGGGCAGCCGCCGAGAGGGCAAAGGTAGAGGCTGCAAGGCCTCCCAAGGCCAGGCTCTGGAACTCATGCAGCCTCACCTCTGACCTGAGACCAGCCTGGATTTGATGGGTAGAGAAATAAACTCCCTTCCACCTTTTTTTTAGTTTTGTGTGTTTTTTTTTTAATTATGATCTAATAGACATACAGCATTATATTAGTCTTAGGTATACAGCATAATGATTTGGTATTTGTATATATTGCAAAATGATCACCACAGTGTATCTGGTTAATGTCCCTCAGTACACGTAGTTACAGAATTTTGTTATGATGAGAACTTTGAAGATGTACTCTCTCAGCCACTTTCAAATATGTAACACAATATTACTAACTCTAGTTGCCCTGCTATACGTGACATCTCCATGACCTGTTTTGTAACTGAAAGTTTGTACCTTTTTTAAAAAATGTATATTTATTTATTTTGAAAGAGGGAGAGAGAGAGAGATAGAGAGAGCTCTGAAGGGGCAGAGAGAGAGGGGGAGAGAGAAATTCCCAAGCAGGCTCCACACCATCAGCACAGAGCCTGACGCAGGGCTTGAACTCACGAAGTGTGAGATCATGACCTGAGCCAAAATCAAGAGTTGGTCGCTTAACCAACTGAGCCACCCAGGCGCCCCAAAAAGTTTGTACCTTTTGACTCTCATCACTCATGTCACCTACTAATCCTCATCCCTGCCTCTGGCAACCACCTAAGTGTTCTATTTATAAGCTTGGTTTCTGTTTGTCTTTTGTTTCTTTTTTAAGGTTCGGCATATAAGTAAGATCATATGATATTTGTCTTTCTGTCTCTGATTTATCTCACTTAGCATAATGCCCTCAAGGTCCATTCATGTTGTCACAAATGCCATGATTTCATTCTTTTTTATGGCTGAATAATACTCCACCGTGTATATATACCACATTTTCTTCATTCATTGATGGACGCTTAGGTTATTTCTATATCTTGGCTATTGTAAGTATAATGATGCAGTGAACACAGGAGGAGGGCATATATCTTTTGAAGTTAGTGTTTTCATTTTCTTCAGAAAAATACCCAGAATGCAGTTGCTGGATCATATGGTA